TTCCTGCAAGCAAGCAGTCAAGCAAAATATTGACTTGTGCAGCATGTAGTAGTTTAGTTGTAGCAGATTTCTGCAATTTTGGTCCATTTAAAACTTCCATCCTTTGTACCTGAAAGGTGAGCCCTGCATCTGAGAAGTGTTTTTATTCCACTTTTTCATACTGTTTGTAGCACTCAACCAATGCAGTTTTAATTTACTTTGCTGTACTTGCTATAAATGATGGCTTTTCTGTACTTTACTGATTTTTCCAAATGGGTAGCATAAGCGCACACAGGCTTTAAAAAATTGGGGCGGGGGGGGGTGGGGGACACGGACACGACACAGCTGGGACAGAAAAAGGTAGAGATACCTCCCTTCCCAAAACCTGTTAACTTTTCACTTGTGGATGTAGTCAAAACTGCCATCCAGATAGCCCTGCAGTGGGGTGCAAGGACACTACCTGTTCCCTAGGAAACAGAGTATTCACCAGGATCTAGATTGCTTAGGTGATAAGAGGAAGAACTATAAATGGTCTTGGGAGATAGACAGGCAAAAGCATAACTCCTCTGTGTGTGGGGGTGGGTGGAGGAAAGCAGGATGTTGCCTCCTGTTTTTGCCAGTGACATATATGTTAAGCAGCCATTTAAATATCACCCCCAACAGCGGCACATCTCTGGCCACTACTCCTACCGCTGCTGCCACTTTGCCCTCCCCACAGCTAGAGCCAGAGCCAGAACCAGAGCCACTGCCAGGAAGGTGCAGTGAGGCACCACCTTTAGGCAGTGCTTAGGGCTCCTGCCCCACTCACCCACCCATCCTTATGCTACTGCAAACATAGGAGAACCCCTGGAAGGGTGATGGGACTGAGTCAAGTCCTGAACTCAATTTCTCCAACTTAGCTGAAAATTGACACAACCTTCAATGAAGTCCACTGGCTTTAGTGGGAGTTTGGATAAGTCCTTCATAACCTAAGGAAAGAATCGCATGCTATTTTAAGGTAGAATGATGATTCAGTGTAGGCTTTGAGTTTCAACCTCATGATAGGCTGTGTTCAATGAATTATGGTTTAAGACTTACGATGGTTCTTCAGACACCACAGCTCCTTCTTCCAACTCTTGAGCCTGTTTATACCATGGCAGCTTTGCTTCTACAGGAAGTTTCTCTATGGAACATACAAAGTACATGAAAACAGAAAACATGCAGGAACAATTCTACAGATACGGGCATCATTCCTGTAAGTGAATGTGCCTGCATTTACAATTGTACACGTGCAGGGTGAGCAGCAGAGAAGAGGGAAAGGGTGAGAGACTGCTGTTTCTTGGAGTATGCAATATTTGAAGAAATATGGTCAATAAGAGAGCTTTTGCTTTTACATTTCTAGAAAGAGCTTGGCTAATTACACGTATAGTCTATGCAGGTGAACATTTCAGCAAAGCATTTTTTTCAAAAATATTCACATCCAAGTTGGCTTGTGAAACCATTCATTTTGAAAATCAAAGGGGAAAACCAATTTTAAGTAATTTTGTAGAATCTGAATATTTTGAGCTGCATATTATGGCTTTTGTTTTTCTGAATTTGCAAAATACATTGAGCCTCCAGTCCTTCTCCCTACCATTTAGAAATAAATCATTGTGTAGTGCATTACATCAAATTCATTTCCACAAGTCACAAAGGAGGAAGTTCCATGTTGTGTGGGGGGCTGGCAGCACTTAAACCTCATGTAAGCTCTCAAAATTAATGCCTAGTTGAGGCTTATATGATGCATAAGTCCTTGTGCTGGCCTTCACCCCAAAACTATTTTCAGCAGAGGACAAAAAAATAATCCCCAGAAATCCATATTGACTCCGTAATAGACCATCATTAACACTGCATTGGTCAAGTGTCCAAAACCATATCTACCTTTAAGTGTTACAGCCTCATAAGGCATATTAAACTCACTTTTGATAGATTATAACATTGAAGAAAATCCAGGTCTGATGAGTGATACCACAAGAATGAGAGAAAACCGAAATAAAATAGTTCAGTGATGTTCTTTGCCTTTAAGCTTATCAATTCATCAACTGTGTGGATTTAAAGAATGAGTTGGATACTTTATCTGTCATTTTTGATGGAAAACAGAACAGCTGCTTTCCCTCCCTGCCCTCCCCCCTCCACGATCTGCATAAAATATAAGAAGCTGTTTTGGGGAGGAAAAAAGTCCACACTGAGAGCTAAATTCTGTTTTCACAGTGGCATTACCTTGGACAATCTGTGCTGACTCAATAGAACTGCTCTGGCTTTACATTGGTATGAACTGAAAGCAAATACTCTTCCAAATCACCTCTGAATTTCTACTGAGTATTTTTGGTCAGCATTAGAAAAAAATAGCATGCAACACAATTGAAGCAGTCGAATACAAAGGATGAGAACCAGGGTCAGGCCTCTTTACCACTTCAGTCCCATTTAAGCCTTCTAGATTCAGTAATGCCAGCCTACAACACCACTTGTGCTGGCCTACAGCTAAGGATTAATTTGACCTGAAAGGAATGAGAATTTTCAGGTAGTTGGTGCATGCAGTACTAGAAATTTTATATGACACTACCTCAACTGCCAGGAGCAATATTAGCAATTTATAAGGATCATAATTTGCAGTGTCACTTCTTAGCTACTGCAAGCAATGCAAGCAGACAAGTAAATGCAAAGGATCCTGGGAGTAAATTAGTGGCTGGGAGGGAAGAGGAGAGCAGTAGAGTTGTTATGCCTTCATTACCAGAAATAACTAGCTAGGATCCTTTTCTCCTATATTTACTGGTGCTGTATAAGGATGAATATATGCCAAAACAGCTCTTAGTTTAATCTGCATTTTGCTACATTTGTTATCCAAAAATGTAAGAGAGATGTCTATTTATACACTGTACAGCTTATTTTACAGGCTTTGGAAAGCCAGAAATTATTACTTTGCTTTTTTTTTTTAATGCAGCTTCTTGCAAAATGCAAAATATACTCCTTTATGCAGCTAACTGCAAAATGACTTTTTTATAAGTTTTCATTTTGGGGTGTGGATGTGGGAAGAGATGGAGGTAGAGTAATTCCAATAATTTAAATTATGAAGTGAACTACTATATTAGGGGTGTGATTTGACATATAAGGAAACAAAATAAATTCCTAATGTAATTCAATGAAGAAGCTAAGATTTTAGAGATAAAAGAAAAGATCACCTTTTAGTAACAGATTTCTGTTTTTAACATGGTACAAACTCTTAGAATGTGTTATTCAACACAACTGACAAGAGGAGCACTGCATTGTCTTCTAATATTAAGAACCGTTATTCCAGTTACACACACTCTGGGCCAGATACAGACTTCTACCAGTCTAAACTCATAACAGCACAGAAGTTCAGCACACACAAACTGGTATAAAAATGGTGGAACCTGGTCTAAGATTAGGTGGTCTTCGCACAACCAAAGGGCGAATATGTGTTCTGCTTGCTACCAATCTAAACTACACAGATTACAGAACACCACATAACTTAGATCCATTCTGTCTTGGGCTTTTTGAATGTCTGTACCTATCCCTGAAATGTACCAAATGACCCTCTATTAGTTTTGTACACAATGAGCACTGACAGATGCCCAGGCCCCTGCTCTAACTCATGGTGTTTTACATAATGCTGTTTACCTCTTGGGTTGGGGCGGGGGGGCAAGGGGAGGAGAGATGCAGCTACCCTTTGGAGTTGATTGAGCAGAGAAGCTTGCCTAAAGCTTCTCTCCTCCAGCTCTCCCCCTGCTCCCTGTCCTCTTCCCGTCCCCCAACTCTAGTGTTGTCTGCAGGAAGGGAAGGGGGAGAAGAGAGGAAGACGAGGAGCTGCAGGCTAGGGTTTCAAAAAGTTAAGTTATAACTGCTGTTTGCCCTTCTATTTCATACAGAGAACATTAAAAGATTTGTTCTCTATTTTCTGTTTTACTGGGTCAAACAGATGGAATCACTGTTTTTCTGCCCTGTGTTAACCCTGCTTCAAAAAGCAATGGTAAGGTAGGAGGAAGTATTGGACAGAAGATACATGTTTTTCTGTAGACATTGGCTATAATAATGTTAGGCTTGTTAAATAAATCATATCTTTTTGGATCGATCTCTAGCAACATTCAAGGCCACAGAAACATGGGGCTACAAATTGCACCACCTGATACATATGGAAGCATTGAAGCTGAAGCAGTTTACATTTAAAACCAAACAAAAAAAAAAAAGGTCTTCAGATGAAAACACCACATGGCATGTATGGTTCTCCTTTGGTGAGGAGATGAAAGAAAGAATGAACCACTCAGTGTTACATTATATGATATATAATGGAAGCTGCTCTGATACTACATCAGTATTGTAATTAATTCCATTCTTTATTATGATCGGAATGATCATTTTAAATATTATCTTCCATTAGCAGTGCTACAGCCACAATGTAACTCAGCTGGTGAAGCTACATCCACATACACCACAGATGAATCTGGGCTTCCTCTCTAGGGGTGTCTATACATTAGGCTGTGTGAAGCTTCAGTGCCCGATTCGATTTGGTGGAGATTCGGCCCGATTTGGTGGCCGAATCTCCGAATCAGAATTGAATCAGAGGACCCTTTAATCTCTCTGAATTGAACTGGAACTTTCTGAATTGGTTCAGAGAGAATCGGAAAGATTCGGTGATTCTCTACATACCTCTGGATAGCAAGCGGCTCATAAATGATGCGATGCTGGGGCACATGGAGTGTCCCACAGAAGCATGGGGGGCTCCCCAGTGCACTCAGCAGCAGACATGGAAGTGGACCAGAAGCACTTCCAGTCCACTTCCAGGTTTGCCAACGAGCATGCTGGGGGCCCCCCATGCTCCCATGGGATGCTCCATCTGCCCCAGCATTGCAGTGTTCATGAGCTGCGCCTGGTACCTCGAGATATGTAGAAAAAACATTTAAAGCTGTGTCTGTGTCTGAATCACTGATTCTCCGATTCAGCATCGAATCTTCAGATTCAGATTCGGCCAAATCAAATCAGGGACAGTGAGCTGAATCAATTAATCAAATTACTGTCCCCGATTTGGGCCGAATCTGAATCCAAATAGAACAGGGCCTGCTTCACATACCCCTACTATACATGTGCTCTAGGGTGGTGGGGGGAGAGGGGCTTTAATTAGAGTGGCTCTGAGCAGACTCCACGTCACGTGTATTCAGTGTTCTGCGCTTCAAAATGGCAGCAGAAGCCAATCTGAAACATGGGGACACTGAATACACGTGATGCAGAGGCTGCTGGAGCACGTTAATTAACATGCTCCTGCAGACTTACAGTAGATTCAATTAATTGAGTCTGCTCCAACACGTGCTAATTAGCACGTGTCAGAGCAGAGGTCCATCACATGCATAGGTGCCCTAGGTTGCTGAGTCCACAGCTGACAATACCAAACCAGGAGCCTATTAAAGAGCTACAGGATACCAGTGACTGGTGCAGTAATGGCAGAGTCTGGTGGTAGCAGTTCATAAATTACTGCATTCAGGTGAACTCAGGAAAGTGTAGTTAAGATACCAAGAAGCAAAATCATTTCTTTTATGTGGAAGAGCCCTACCTTTGGGTTTATAGCAAGGAGTGGGTACGATGCATTCTTCCTTTATGTGAGGCTTTGATTTTGGGCTGCAGCCTCCTGTGTGCAGCCCTCTGTGATCAATGCACAGAACTACACGGTATCTAAGCCCCTGTCCACATGTTACAGTGCACTGAAAGAAAGAAAAAGCACAGAATCTCATATATGCAGTAAATACAAAAAAAAAATCCCCGAAGGAAAAATATTGTATACAAGAATAATGTGTTAGAAGTAAGGGGCAAAATTTAGAGCAGAAACAGGTCACATAGATGATAGATCAGTCGTGTTATTTGGTACTGACCAGTTAAGAAAAGCTGACCAACAGTTGCTGTTTCTTCCTTTCTGTTTTGCACAGCTTGCTTTAGACATATGGCTACTGAGTTTCGCTTAGTATCACTCCAATACCACTCTCAGCAGTGGCTACTTGGCCTCTGGCCATTAATTCCATATTGGACTTACTTACTAACATCTTGTCATTTTCAGCTATGGCTACTTCTCTTCCACTTGCACTAGGTACTAGAACTTACGGGTTAATGGATGTAACACCTCGATCCTGGGTATGCTTTTTGAGAGAATTATCCTGGCACATGTCCGCGAGGGGCCAGCAGGGGAGATTATGCTTAGGGGCAACCAACATGGGTTCATTAGAGGCAGGTCCTGTCAGACCAACCTGGTGGCCTTCTATGATCAGGTCACAAAAGCCTTAGACGCAGGTGTAGCAGTGGACGTAGCTTTTCTGGACTTTAGGAAGGCCTTCGACACTGTCTCTCACCCCATTCTCATTAAAAAACTAGGGGACTGTGGCGTCGACACCTACACAGTCAAATGGGTCGCTAACTGGCTGGAGGGCGGCACCCAGAGAGTGGTGGTGGACAGATCTTATTCAACCTGGAGGGATGTGGGCAGTGGGGTTCTGTGAGGCTCGGTCCTCGGGCCCGCACTGTTCAACATCTTCATCAGCGACTTGGACGAGGGGGTAAAAAGCACCCTGTTCAAATTTGCAGACAACACTAAGATGTGGGGGGAAGTGGGCACGCTAGAAGGGAGGAATAGGCTGCAATCGGACCTAGACAGGTTAGAGGGGTG